GCAAACGCAATGAAGTTCTGATCTACCAGGGCTTTGCTAACACTCAAGCTGCTCCATCAACACTCGTATACAAAGGGCATGGTTGTTATACACATACATCAACATACTTTGTTAGTTTAGGATGATATAAACTCAACCACATTCATATTTTGGGTGTTTGCATTGACTTTGTGCCTGATCAAGCCGCACAAAGAAAGTTTTCAGCGCTTTGTTTGAACACACCATTCATGTAAAAGCGAGGGGCAGATGGATGCACTTGATTGTGGAGAAGACATTGTTGGAGAATGAAGTTGAAGGACGAGGAGGAATAAGGGTTGTAAGTGTGCAAAGTAAAAAAAGGAAGAACCAGTTGATAAATCCTGAAGCTGAAGTTGTTCTATTGTGGAGGGATGGCAAAAACAGAAGCTTGATTTTGCATCTGATTTTTTTTCTTTCTCCTAAAAGCATTGTGTTGTGGGACAGATGTTGGGTAGAGAATAGAAATGATGCAGGCACAGATGTTTGATCTCTACATAGACACCTCTGGCCTGCACATAATCACACACCAGCAGCAGCAGCAGCAGCAACCAGCAACCAGTCTCTCCTCACTGCATCCCCCCCCCCTTTCCTCTTCCTCCTCCACTGACCTACTTCCCGGCGCTGGGGATGAGAGGCGATGAGGTAGTGGGCTGAATGAGAAGTGGCAGCAGTATCTCCCTTTATCCCTGCCTCACTCCCTCACCTCCTTCATCTCCCTGTCTCTCCCCTCTCTGCTCCGCTGCTCTCCAGACTCTTTAAACACAGAGCAGCCAGCAGGGTCCTCTCTTTGCTTCAGGGAGTATGCAAATACTGCATGTGTGTATGAGCTTACATCCGAATCTTCGGCGCTTAGCACTTCTATGTAGCATTTCTAGCTATCGTGCTAGTTGCTAGGGGATGTTGACCACAGGTTTATGTGTTGTTTTGTGTGTGTAATTGCACACAAGAAGCAGCACACAGTAAGGCTGTCCTTAACTAATCACTAAAGATATTCTTACTTTGACTCATGCTACATTCACTCTGCTTAATTTTCAATGGAAGCGTATACAGGAAGCTACAACGCCAAACACTTGCCGCACAACCGGCGATACACGCTACAAAAGTTTAGCTGGCTTAAAAAAAATGGTTAAGTCCTTTTAATAACGTGACCAAGCTTTAAATAATCATACATTTTTATTTCATTATCTTTTCATCATCAAAAAAAGGAAGAAAGCGTATTGCTTTTGGACTACACACCAACAACAACACCAACACGTCGTCAACTAGCATCACTTTGTTGTCACATTGTTGCTCGTGGTGTGAACACAGCCAAACATTAGGAAAACCTAAAAAGCATAATAGGGCCCCTTTTGAAATATTGACTACAAAACCGAAGTCCAAGTAAAGAGTAAGAGCTGGCAGCCCTCGCATACAGTCACTGTGCCCAGCTATCAGCAGCTACATGCACACCTGAGCACAGATAAGCAGGGGAAGGAAAACAAATGGAGAATAAAGCCGGCAGGAGGATAGTGGAGAAGTCCCTAGGAAAAATGACAGATGTTACTGTCCGAGGGGGGTTGACGGAGCGAAATGTCACTCTATTCACCCTGAAAAGAGGGGAATAATGGGAGATGACAGCAAATCAGAGGGGGAGGGACAGCGGGATGGAGTGAAAAGCTGGGAGATAAGAGGGGCTCTCAGGGCACATATGGAAGTGGACGTGGTCAATTTGAATTGTGATTGTGTGGTGACTCCACCATACAGAGAATGATAATGGCACAGCGCCTTATATCCCCCTGTATACACTGTATGTACAGTATACTTCTGTGTTTGGATTCCTTGACCTACTTTCTCTGGGCAGGCTTTGGAAGACGGCCAGCAGAACTGGTGTTGAGTGATCACTGGCCACACACACACACACACACACACACACACACACACACACACACACACACACACACACACACACACACACACACACACACACACTGACAGGAGGTTCAGGTTGTGTTTTCACTGAATGGCTTTAAAACCCCTGTAGAGAGTCTCCTTTTCTATTAAGCTCAGCCAGCTGTCCACTGTGTCAATATCGAACTCACCACCGTAAAGCTTGGCATCAGTGCTTACTCTCTCTTGTAGTAATACAAATGATGAAGAGCAGTCGCTTTTATTTCGATGCAGAGCCTTGTCAAGTGTACATCTATGGAAAGAATCTCCATAATTTACCATGCTGGAGTGGGCCTTTCTCATTGTTTCCTTTCCCCCTGTCCCCCTTGCCTATACAGTACATTTAAGTCTGATCAGCATGCCATGCTTAGCCACATCTGGTTTGATCATAAACTCTGCATCTTGTTGTGCAGAATACTCGATGCACATGCGACAGTTGTCTTTAATCATTATCACTGTGCCTCTGTTGGTGTAAAACGGGATCTTGGACATCATATTCAACCTGGCACTTTGCTGCAATTTCAGGATTGCTGGCAGACACTTACTTGTGTGTAGGCTTGTAAGAGTTTTTGTGCTTGTAATTTTATAGTGTGCACCAATATCTCTTCTTGTAAGGCATCGCCTATGAGGCAACATTTGGACGGTCTAGCGGTCGGGGCAAAAAAAGGGCTGACTGCTAACAGGTTTTTTAGCATTATTACACATAAATGTAGGCCTCATAAAGTACTAAAGAGGTCACTGCTACATAATCAAACACAACTACAAGATATGAAGTAAAAACCCTGATTAAAAAAATACCTTTGTATGTGTTGACTTAGGCACCAATAATGTTTTCTCGGCTTTATTGTTGCATTTTAGTTCTGGTCTGGAAACATTGAAAGGACAGTTTGGCAATTGTCATCCTGCACCATTGGGACCAACATGGGGATTGATTTATTTTTTAAATGTTGAAGCCCTGCCTTGTAAATAGCCCTGTGTATAAATGTAGATCTAATGCCTATTTATATGGCAGTTGATGACATTCTTGCAGAAATTCATATATATTTCATCAAATGAACACATACTAACTGAGACAGTTTATTGGGCTCTGCATGGGTTACATGATACAAACACTATGCACAGGCAATGGGAGGAAAGGGGGGGATCAATGGGGGCCCCCGGGTCATTTTTGCCCTGGAGCGCCCCAGCAGGTTAATCCCTCCCTGATTGGGGGGGAGTTCAGGGATTGTCACCTCGGCGAACACGCGTTGCTGCAGTATCAGATGTGCCTGGCCCACTGATACACGATGACAAACATGCTATACTTGACATTCAGCACTCTGATGCAATGGCTATGAAACAGTCTCTATATTAGAAAGTCATTCTCCAGAATACTTTTAGATAATACTTGTCAGAAAATAAGCCAAGTGTTAGCTGCACGGGTATTTCCATGTTCAACAAGCCAAAGAAAAACTTGGTTGCATTTCATTTAAACTAGCCTCCAGTTCACGTGTAGCTCTGCTGCCTCTGCATTGAGAAGGCTGCAGATTCAAGGAGGCGGAAAAAGCGAATGAGCAAAAGACGAACAGGGCAAAATGGAAATGTGGTGTTTTCTCTTTTCTGTTTTTCCCCTTTAAGCTTCTGTCGAGGGCTGAGCGCTTTCATAAAGAATTTACCATCCGGGCTATTTTTAAACCATGCAGTGAGAACTCCTACACTGAACAAATGTGTGAGAGAGCAATGGCGGAGAGTCAGGCTCAGTGAAGATGAAGTAGATTGTGGCTTTTTGTGGAAACTGAAGTCATAAACTTTCATTGCCATATCAAACAGACGGGTGCAAAGCTCTTGCCATACCGTAATGCTTGTTTATACACGTATCAATAAAAGCATAACAGGAAGAGAAGTCTGCTTATTGAAATCGACTTGTGATAGCCTTCTGTGCTCTTGATGGCAACCTCGATGACTCCAAAAATGGATTTATTGGTCCACTAGTTCTGCTGTATTTGCATGTCCATGGTATTTGCATGAGGTCCATTCATTCACAAATGCTGTAAACTGTTGCATAAATAACAGCTTTAGAAACAATTTGAGCCTCTGTTGGTGTACACTCACATTGTGTAAGTAAGTATGTGGTTGATAGGACATAATATGGTGTAAAGAGTATATTATTCATACAGTGAAGACCACCCATATCCTTTTAGTGGCATTGAGGAAATCCTCCAGGGTGTCTCGGCCTATTCATTGCTTTGCTCCTGTTGTAGTGGGTGTCATTCACTACTGTCCATACACACAGTGTCTGCTCCATTGAAGGAGTGAGGGCACTGCTGGGGCAGCTATGGTGCACAAACAAAACACACACATTGCACAGGCGCCATTGTTCTTCACGGACAAGAGGTTTCTTTGTCGAGGCGTAAGAGCAACCGATGTCAGGATGAGGATATGATGGCGGACCCTGCTGCCTCCTCTGTCCTCTCACCACCTGTACATTTAAGGAAGATTTCTGAAGAAAATAGATGAAATCAATGGTTGTTGGTCTTGGATTTTTTTCCTATGTTGATGTCATCTGCGGTGGTAGAGGTACTTTTCAAAGATAGCTTCTCAATGAGTTTGTATTTTCTATTTTTCCAAGTAAGTCTTCAGCATGAGAAAAGATACATGCAAGAGATGTCTTAGGTGGCACCCCTCTGTTTGGCCATGGTGGCTGTTGTTGCGTATGTATCTTCCTGTATTTAATACAAACAAATCGGGGCAGCTGGAAACATGAATTTCTTCACTTCCTGTGCACTACAAAAAAAAAAACATTTCCAAGGAAACATTGACCAAACACTGGGTGTGTCGACCAGCACGAGGCTGAATAGCATAGGCTGAATCACTGTTATGCAACATTTTGATTGGAAATTATTTAAATTATTTACTGTACATGGAAACGTCATGTATTATGCCATTCAACATGCTTGTCCTAATGGATGGAATGGCATTAAAAGTAATTGTTAAGGACACTGGGGAAACCAAGCGTAGGCCGCCTTGCATTTTGGATGTCTCTGTAACCTTTTCCTTTGATCTTTTCTCTCTTCCAGATCATGCCCCCTAGATAGCAGCCTCGTCCTCCTCTCCACTCCCCCTCCCTGCCCCTCGGCCCCTTCCTCTACCATCCAGCACCATCACTGCCAACCGTGTCGCCACAGCCGCCATGCCGCCCAGGAAGAGGACGCGGCCAGGCCTGGGCTTCCTGTGCTGCTTCGGCAGCAGCGAGCCTCCGGAGATCAACCTCAAGGACAGCGTGCCTCTGCAGCTGCTGGAGTTCAGCGCCCCCATGCCGCCCGCAGAGGAGCTGCTTGCGCGTTTCTCCGAACTGGTGGTGAGTAAAGATGGAGTGATGTTAATAATTGAGGAAGCTTGTTGGAATGACTTCTAAGATTGTCATCCAAAGCAAATGCATGTCCCGTAAAGAATATATTAAGTTTGGACTATATTGGCCTAAAGGGCAATTTAAGCTTTCTTTAACTTGGATCCTATTTTCCCTTTAATTTTTTTACTATAAAAAAAAGTGACTAATTGGGATAACCATTTGTTGAAATTATGTCAGTATTTTCCTCACAGCGCTCCAGCTAGAAGCCACGAAACAGACACATAGCAGTCCTGCAATTCCGCACCGCCAATGTGTGTCCACTAAAAATGTTCAGATTTGAGTTATTATAAGTATTTGATAAAATGAAAAAGAGAAGGACCTTACATAAAATTACCGTTAAAGCGACGTACACTGGCAGTGCGGAATGGCTTGGAGTGATCACGTAGCAGCCAAAAAACATGGAAAAATAGGGTTCAGGTTGAAAAATAAAAAGTCACCTCGAAAAGACAACTTTGGGCCGTTGGTGAGGGAAGTGTTATACATTTAAGATTCATTACCTTTTCAGTTGAAAAGTGCTCCCACTAAGTGATCACATTGGCTCTTTGTTCATTGAATACTACTGCAACACGACCCAAGTGGTTTCACAGGCTACATAATGCATGACTTAGTCATACAGTATGTTTTACATGTGAACTAACTTCCTGCCTGTTGGTAGTTGCCGTGAAAATGTACTTTTAGCAGTAAAGATTTTTTCTACAATGTTTTTTATATGAGCTGGAACTTAAATCACCACACTTTAGGGATATAAAAAATAGCCATCCATGGATTCTGTTTAATGAGCCATTTAACTTAATTGTAACGCAGTCCAATGTTGTTATGGATGCTTTAATTTGACCAATTTCCAAAATGAGTCACCATGCAGAAATGTTGCCCATTAAAGTTAAATATATAAAGTTGGTATTAAGCAGTACTTTGGTACAATGTAATCCCTGGAATTTCCTTTTTTCCTAATTGTAAGTGGTCCATTTCTTTCCCTTTTCCTTCCATGCGTGTTGTTCATTATCCCCACCAAACAGGAGTAGGGACAGGAATCGGAATGGATTGGGTCTTGTGAAAGGCATCTTGATGGTTTGATTAGGCCACGCCAAACACAACATTTAGCAGCTCATCCTTTCCACTACACACAGCCCACCCTTGTGTGACATTTCCTGATTTTGTGCATGGATTACACTTGTTGGCAGAAGTGTTTGGTCTACAACCAGTGCCAAACATGCGCCCATGGTCTTGAGAGGGATCAGGGCACAGCTGTCAGAACGGAGAAGTTTACTGTGGGTTTCAGCTGCCATGCATGCAAGTTCCGGCTTTTTTGGAAGACAAGGCTTTCCTGTTTCGGTCTCGATGTTTGCTCAGTTCCTATCTCCTGTCTTCATCCATCTTAAAGTTTCTGCCATGCTCCTGTAACCTCAGGTTTCCATTCTGCCTGTGTCTCCTACTCCCTACCTGGCTAAAGGACTGCTTCTGACTCTGTCAAGTCTTGGGGAGTGCTAAACTTCACCGGCTGCAAGATATATCACTCCTCCAACTGTCATAATCAATTCAGGAGATTAAGTGAAATTCCATTTGAGATAGGAAAGTATTCACTATCATTAAGGCAGATGTTTCCCCAACAGGCATCCTTTTCCCATTTTCCAGCCAATTGACCTGATTTGATCCTAAATGTGCTGTCTAGGCTCATTCTCATAATCACTGGCATTGCACAAACCATTAAACCTTGGTAGTTGCAGTGTATTTATTACCGTGATAAGTTAGAACTGTAGCGATGAAGACACTGATTGCATCAATCAGTTCGCCTAAACTGGAGTGACCTATTGCCCTTTTAGCTGCAATAACTAAAGCTTTGTTGAGGAGAACCAATCAGTAGTTAACTAACAAACTTCCAATACATCCATTAACCCTCTGAGACCCACATAGGACATTTCCGTTTTTGTATATTTTTGTGTTTTGCCTTATAAATTGTCATTTCTTTGCAGTATAATCAAGTTTTACACATCCCAGAAATCAGCACAACCTCAGCTAATGATATATGTCACTCATTAGAGACTTATATACACTATAATAGGGGATTTTTGCCCATAAATAAAAAATAAATAAAAAACGGAGCTTGAATTTCTTTACTTATTTCATTAAATATAACTGCTAATCATAACATTGAAAGAAACATTCAACACAGAAAATTGCACAACTGCAAGACGGTACTCCTGTAGTTCTGTCTGGAAAACATGTATTGCAAGGTTAGAATCAAAACTTTTATTTTATGCTAGAGTACTTCACCAAATCACAGCAGTCCGAAAAAATAAGACCCTACTCCCACATCTTATTTTGAGGTGGTACATTTCTGATCTTGCAAAGAAGCTTACACGTATGTACAAGTTAAAGAAAACGCAGAGCAGATAAGTCCAACCCCCTTGCAGCATTTGACCCAGGAGAGAAATCAGATTTGGTATTGTGTCATTGGATCTGGGCCCTTTCACATGTTGTGAATAGATTACTCTTCAGATGTTTGTTGGATGGCTTCATCTGATCGCTTAGATGTGTTGTCTTTGGGGTATTGTGTGTGTAAGTATCTGGTTAATCTTGTCTTTACTTGACTGCAGAATTCCAGCATTAAAAATAGCACTCAAAGGTTAACGTCTAACTCAAATGACCTTCTAATCTGTAAATCACTTAATGTGTTCTCCTTTGAGGAAGAATCTGAAACTAAAGGGGAGAATTTATGTTTTTTGGTTTCATGATGGCACCCCGGGGTTTTGCCTAAATTCAACAGAAAACCGAAAGTTAATCTACGTAGATCAAAACCGTTTTTTCAATCCAGTTTCTTTTGACAGTTTGATTCATGTCTGCTTTGATCAGATGACTGATGCACAACTGCTTCTACGTAATGGTCATCTGCCCAAGATCCCCCACATCTGTTTAACTGAACGGAAATGCTGATACATTTGACAAATCAGTACTACCAGACATAAAATGCCTTTGAAGCTGATATTAAAAGCCAATGCAGGGAGGTAAGGGGCTGTGCTACGGGGGTGGAAATAAATAAAAAAATAAAATAACATAACAGTGTGTTTCCATGGCAACATGAGATGGGATTATTGTTATGAAAGCCTCTCATGAGGAGCAGAATGAGTCTCAATGGAGGCTCTGAAGTGGGAGCGAAAGATCTGGGCCAAATGGAGTGAACCACCTCCGCGTGTCTGCACGTCCATAATGGGTATTCCCCTGTTTCTAGTCACTGTCCGGTCAGCTTACACCGTTACTGGGAGGAAAGACCTTAAGCTGACTTGTCTCTGAAACATTGTATGAACAATTGGTGGCCATGTGGCCTGACTCTATTATTGTGATATTAAATGAAAATAAATGTCTGTCTCATGTGTTTTTGGAAGATGATAGAGGTTGACTAGAATGAACATGTATTACTTTTAGGTCCGCAATGATTTGTGGACTAATGGATTAGGTGATCGTCAGACAAATAATCATCAACCTTTTGGATATTAAAACATTTATAAAGTTAATTTTCATGCAAAAATGGCAGAAAATGTTGCTGGTGTCACACTTCCTGTTGTTTTCAAACATTTAAACTGAATTTATTGTGGTTTTGTACTGACAAAACAAGGCATTTAAAGACATCAGATTGGACTTTGACATATTTTTTTAACTATTTCCTGATTAATCAAGTAAGCCACAAAATAGTTGTTATTATGGTGACAAACTAGGCAACTATAAAGAAACGCCAGCAAGTTATGGCAACCTAAATATGAGAAGCGTTCTCAAGTGCATAACCTTTAAGCAACCTCTTCTAACTTCTATGCCACTTCATGAAAAAGGCAGGAACATAGAATAGTTAATGTAGCGAAATAGATGACTTATTGTCCTTGGTGTGTAGCTGACACAGCTAATATTGCAGAATAAGCATGTGTGGGATCCATCTTAAGTTCCCTTGTGTAGACACTCTCTCTCCTCTGCCAAACGCCCAACAACTCATCCTAGAGAAAGTCTGAAGAACTAACCTGCTTCAAAGTCTGCCATGAACCCAAATGAAAGCCTCAGTAACGAACTTGATAAACCCATGCAAATGAGCCTGGAAGCAGTTGCCACTGATTTGGACAAAATGAACCAAACCCACATAAAAGGAACTAATGGATCACATTAATTAGAATACCCATTTGCAGCTGACTGCAGAGTTTACAGATAGCAAATGTGCCGCAGTTTGGGGTTCTGTTTTTTGGATCTGCGTGCGTTTTTTAATCGTCTCTTTCCACTAGCGTTTCAAGGCTTGCACGAAAAGTTGATATTAAGGCCATGTGTAAAGTTTGGCAGTGCTTTCAGAACAATGGCAGCTTTATTTTGCTTTGTCAGGGCAATTCCCTGCTAATAACATTGTATCATCAAATATGAATTAGCTCCATATTAAGATAATTAAGAAGGGGTTCTGTTTGGTTATTATCCTGCTTGGATATATTTGTCAATGATGGCAGTTTGGGTTTCCCGAAAAAAAGAAAGTGTGAGATTGTTTTGAGACAACAAGTCTCACACATTTAATGTTGAAAGGTCGGCATATGGTCCCAATGTGTTGAAGTGCCTGAAATCAACTCCGTAGTGCCACTGAAGCAGAATCAACTCTTAAAAAAAGAGAATAAAATACAAAGGCAAAAACAGATTTGGAGGAACTTTGGATAGATATGCTTTGGAAAAAAGTTGAAAGCCATGGCTCACTTTTAGATTGTAGTGGGGAAAAGAGAAAGACGCCAAGTCTAACTGAGCGTCCGTATGTCATTGTTTTTCTTGCAAATAAATGCCCTCCCCAAGTTGTTTATTGCATTATTTAAAAAGGAAGATGCATGCACAGTTTATCTAGCCAAATCGGTGCAGCTGAATCAGGTTGTATTAGGTCAACATCTGGCAAATACTGTTCTGGCAGGCATCAGATTAGTGTGTTGTCGCTTTGCTCTCCG